GGTGCTCCCCGACCCTGGGTGCCGCCCTGAGAGCAGCAGTGCGTGCGTACCCTCATTCAGGAGGCCGTCCTTTCGTCACTGGGAAAGGAGGCGGGTAAGCAAATGTGAAGTAACTGCCTCCAAATTGTCTTCTGCTGTGTTGCTCTGTTTTAGGAAAAAGTGCCATTAATCCAATCCGTTTAATAAACAAATAAATAATAGGGAAATAACCGCAGTGCTGAGATGCTGGCTGCATTTTGCTGAACAGACGAGGCTTTGTGCCAGTGCTGAGGAGCTATCAAGTGAAGACATCCCACCTACTGTGGCAGCGGGGGTGGTCTCCCACCTGTCACCAACAGCCTGGGGCCCGAGGAGGCAGCTCTCTGAACTCGACTTTAGTGAGCGCTCCCCTGCAGAGCCTCGCCGTTCCCGCTGTTCTGAAGACAGAGACCTCTGCGAGCGGAGCGCGTGCTCCCTGCGTATCACGAACATCGAGCAAGACGGGGCACGTGAATTTCGTTTCTCAAGGAGAACAGCACTAAAATCCTTGACTAGGGAGAATGTTTCCAGTGGAGCAAGGCAATCAATCCCCTGAGATCTGTGTACATCGTGTGTTACTAAACAGCTTCCGTCCTCTGTACTTTTACAGGCTGTCCCATAAAGTTGGTAACATTGAAGGCTTCTGAGCTAGCTTGAGAATGATGTTGATTAGAATAATATGCATTATTTTCTAATCATTCCCCGCACCATACCACCCACAGCTTCCTCCCTTCTAGCCTGCTTGGAGGGTCAGCCTCAGATGATGGGAAGGGAGGCCATCCGGGCTTGGCTTTGAGGCTCCCCAGGGCACCCCCAGTCTGCTGAGTGTGGGGCGACCGTCCAGTGGGTCTTGCTCTGTCTAACTCAAGGGAAGCTGGGGCACCGTTCCTCGAGGGTCTTGCTGCCTAGCTGGCCAGGAGTGGAGTGTGGATGGAGCCACACGCCCTGAGGTCCTTCCCAGGAAGGAAAGTCTTCCAGCCTCACACGGGCCTCCGTAACCGTCACTCAAAGGCAGGTAGGCAGCCCTGGTGCTCAGAAACCACGGCAGCCCTACGGAGGGAACGCTTTGCTTGACGGGACCTTTCAGTACTGTCTTTGTTGGGATTCTCCCAGGGCTGTTTATCGGGAAGGTTCTGGAAACACTGGAGTGGAGGGGAAGTTCTGCTGGAAGGCAGCCAATGAATGCTGCGTTTGCAAGCCGGCTGCCGTGGCGGGGGCAGGGTGGGGGAAGAGGATTCTGCCGGGAAAATCCTAGAAGCCGGTGTGGAACGTGCAGCGGGATGCTCGCTGGTGAGTATTCACAACCCCTGCCCTAGGGCCTGAGAGCTGACTCCCTCCCTGCCAGGCTGAGTACTGTCAGGCAGGGAAGGCAGAGCTGGGTAGGGGAGTCAGGGGAGCCAGAGGGAGAGCAAGTCCTGCTTGGTCCTGCCAGCTGCTTTCTGGACCTAGGGGTCTGGGAGTCACCAGGCTCCAGGGAGTGACCCCCCAACCATGGTCAGGGCACCCCTTGCCCATGGGCGGGCATAGGGAGCCAAGTGAGGAAGGTCAGAACAGGGGTGAGGCTGGGGGCACGATTCCTGCAGCCCTGGACGTGGGCGTGGAAATCCTCTTCGTGGAGACCTCTGCTTGCTCCTCGGGGCTCACCTGAGCTTCCTGACCGATGCTGGGGCCTCACTGCTGGGCCTCACGTGGAAAGAGCCACTGCACACCCCTGGGGCTGGGGGGTTTCTGTCTGAGCTGCAATAGGGCTAGTAGCAAAGTACACAGAGTAGAAAAAAAGCGGGATTCCCACATATCCCGGGGCTCCTGCGGCGCAGCCAGACCCAAAGACCCGCCCGCTGCTGGGAGGACACGCAGACCCTCATGGGCACCTGGCCCTCATCTGTGTCTGTCCAAGCCCCACATCCACACCGGGGACTGAGCCAGTGTGGGCAGAGGCCTGCCTGCAGCCACAGCCCTCTGACTTGCCGCTCTCTGGGGGCCTCCGTTGACTCTTCTTCTAAGCAAGGGATGCCTGACCTGAGAGAAGCTGGTTTGCACATCTCCTCTGTCCACACTGCCCTCCCCAGAGCCACCCCAGCCTGAGGCTAGACGGAGAGAATAGCCCGGTATGGACATAGGCCACTTGGCACCCATGGGGTCTGCACAGTGCCCGAGAGGCCACTCACTCGCTTTGCTTCTTCCCCTGGCTCCCCTTAGGAACTCGGGTTCTCGGGGGAACCCGCCTCACCCCTCTCACAGAGGAACAGCCTCTCCAAGGACCCTGTGGCATCAGCACCCTCAGCTCTGAGGACACGGCCTGCATTTTCCTCCATCAGGGTGTCCGGCCACCCTGTGGCCAGCCGGACCGGGCTGGGAACACCTCTGGCTTCGAGGCTCCTCCAGGCAGGATGACGGAGGCCCGAGACCCTCTCGATTGGCAGCTGTGTACCTTCTTTTGTTCTTCACTGAATCACTGAAGGCCAAGCTGAGCACGGGCTCTGCGAGGTGCTGTGTGGAAGGAAGAGAGTGGCCCGCGCAGTAACACCAGCCTGGCCCCCATCCCAGTCCAAGCGGGGCAAGGGCAGAGCTGACTTCACACTGCCAGATCCCCTGCTTTCGAGTTTGCCCAAGTAGCCTGCTGGCAGAAGAAAACAATGCCACAGGAATGTCAATCACAGCAAGGAAGGGTTTTCTAAGTGGGAAGGATGAGAGACCTTCTAGAAGTTTCCTGGGAAAGATGGTGCAGCTCTTTGAAGCATGGGAGTGGTGGGACGTGATGGGGTCACTGCGTTGTGAGTTACCCAGAGGCAGGAACTGCTGAGCCACACCCCCACCGCCAGGCCACGCCGTTCCCCAACACAAGGGCTTTAAAGACGAGTTCTCCAACACGAGGAACCCACACGCACGCCTACAGGGTGCGCCATGTTTGCAGAGAGAAGTCTCTGTGTAATGCTGGCCTGGGCTACTTCTGACTGAGTAGGAGCCCCAGGCAGAAAGATCGCCTGAGATCAGCACCAGCTCCTTGTAGCTGCGACTCTGAGATTGCCCTGGGCACACTGGTGAATGTAGCAGCCGAGCTGCTTTCAAATTGCTTTGCAGACTGAGTGTTCCTGACAAAATCAGAAAAGTCATTTCAACTTGATCGCCTTGAAGTGGAACATCCTTCAAGACAACAGAAAGCAGGGGAGGGTGTGGCCCATTTTCTCCAGGCAAATTTAATTCCATTCTGGGATTAGACACACTGGAAAGGCTTAGGACTCCCAAACGTGGACTCCTGGGTCACATCACCCAAGGATGAGGTGTGAATTCGAGGAGGGTGGAAGGTACAAGTTGGTGCCATCCCAATCCCCGCATGGCCCTCCATCCACTGTGGGAGCTGTGGCCACTCAGCCTGATTCCCCCTGTTCTCATCAGTAATGCAGAGACGCTATTCTTTCTGCAGGGTCAGTGTCAGGACTAGAAAATCACTTAAAGACTGTCCCCAGCAGCTGTCAGTAAAGAAGGGCTACCCGGCTCCTCCCCTTCCAGCCCCTTCCTCAGGGCTCTGCAGTCATTTCCTTGGCTTTCCTTTGTCGGCCCGGTAGAGAAAGACTTCCTTTCTGCTGGCCCAGGAGCACTAATGATGGGTCTGATAGCCCAGATTGAAGTTATTGAAGTATTGAGACTCAACTTATCTTCAAAGCCATGCTAGCTGGCACACACCCCCACACCTACACATATGGACACAATGCACACACAGACAGGGACTCACATCTTCCCTGGCCCTGCTTGACAGTGGGAATCAGCTCCCGGCCGGGTATCGGGGACCAGTACTGTTCTGGGTTTTGTGGAGGCACATGTCCTGCATTCAGGTGACCACAAAGGACCTTGAGATTCCTGGGTGCAGGCGTCAGACCTGCAGCAGAGCAGCCAGTGGGCCTGCACGGGGTCCCTCCGGTGGACTTGCCAGACATGTCTCTTGAAGGATTCATCCTTGAGTGTGCCTTTGGGGAGGCAACACACCCAACAGGGACCCCTGAGAGCCCAGCACTCTCCTTTAGAGGTACTGACCTGTGGATGGAAATTCCTCCCTCGTTCATAACTGAGGCGCATTAGAAGCCTGAGGCACTTTCGGTAAGGGCTGCCTGTCACAGCCCCACAGTTCAACCACGGCACCCGTCGGTGACTCCCCTTTCCTGCCCTGTCCTCTTTGGATGGGCACACAGCTCCAGGAAGACATGGACCCCACACAGACAGCCTAGCTTGCATTATTTAAGGCAGGTGCAGTGCACCAGGACAAAAGAAAGCTGCAAGAAATCCAGACCCACTTCTGTTTAGCTTTGAGTGAGTTGGGATATATTGGGGAACACCTTTCTGTTAATATTTCTCCTAGAATGATGCTGAAATTGGCTTATGTGCTCTGGGCACCTAGTACCTGAGGGCTCAGAGGGGAAGGTGTCCCCTAATGGGTCCCTCCTGGTGTCTTAGATTCCATCCTTCCAGCACCCCACTCACTACCTTTGATCCTCAGAGGGAGCCCCTCTCTAGGTTGTGCAAGAACATTTCTTCTTTCTCCATAGCCAAGTGTCCGGTCTGTTACAGAAAGTGGGTCTTACAACCTGCACCCCCAACTAGAAATCTGCAGCTCTTGGAAGGGGAGGGAGTGTGGTACCCAGGAGGGGGCCGTTCTGCTTTGAGCATCTCTAGGCCACCCCTTTGGCCTCTTCTGGGCCCCCTGCTGGCCTCACCAAGAACCATGGACGCACTATTTTTATTCTGATGAAGAACAGTGCCGAAACGTCTTTCGACTTGACGAGACACAAAATTTAGGTGCTGAGAGAGATACTTCAATTTCAAGCTTAAAGATTACTTTGGGTCCCCCAGGACTCAGAAGCAATTTAGAGCTGATACCCTGAACAAGAGAAAGGTTAGAAGATTAAGACCAACTGCTGTTTGGATAAATGGTTGGTAATTGCCCATATCCGCAATTATACACTGGCACATAATATCTTTTCCGCTACCTTTCTCCTCTCCTGCGTCCCATCAGGATTGATTCGGAAGGAGCCCACCTTGGCCTTCTTCTGCCGAGCCTTGGTGATGTCGTGCTCTACCTCGTCCATCAGGGCCCTGCACGCTAAACAAGACACGAAACAGCTGTGATCAGAGGAGGAAGAGAGCCAAAGCCAGGCCTGTGCAGGTGGCCTCTCTGGGAGGGGCAGAGTGACTTCCTCTGTGCCATCCTCCAGCTAGAACAGGGACAGTGCCGACGTGCCCAGGACCTGGGGAGGACTCTTGTCCTCTGCAGAGTTTTCAAACATGGCAAGACAGACTTTTTTTTATGTTCCCTTTTGTATTTTGTGTTTTCAAAACCATATACAATCTACTTTTACATTTAAAATGTGCTTTTTTGTTTTTGAGACAGGGTCTCACTCTGTTGCCCAGGCTGGAGTGCAGTGGCACTATCTCAGCTCACTGCAGCCTCAACCTCCCACACTCAAGCCATCCTCCCATTTCCACCTCTGAGTAGCTTGGACTATAGGCACACATTGCCACACCCAGCTCATTTTTTTTTTTTTTTTTTAGAGACAGGGTCTCACTATGTTGCCTAGGTAGGTCTTGAACTCAAGACATCCTGCTACCTCAGCCTCCTAAAGTTCTGGGATTACAAGTATGAGCCACCATGTCCAGCCTTAAAATGTGCTTTCCTATTTATTTATTTATTTATTGAGACAGAGTCTCGCTCTGTCACCCAGGCTGGAGTACAGTGGCACAATCTTGGCTCACTGCAACCTCTGCCTCTCAGGTTCAAGCAATTCTCCTGCCTCAGCTTCCCGAGTAGCTGGGACTACAGGTCCTTTCCTTCAATACAGCAGACGCTCATCCACTGAGTCCATGGGACCTGGAAGCCCCTCTGGGTTGCAATAATTACACCCAAGTAGCTTCTGCACTGTGGGAAAAGTTGGTCGAAACTAGGCCCTTCTCCAAAAGATACATTTTTGCTGGATTTGAAGTCAAAGCGGACTCTCTGAAATTTATTTTTACGGGAAATGCAGCTGGTTTTGTCCCCTAAAATCCCTTCTCCCCAGGCCATGGCTGCCCAATGGGGACAGCTGAGCTGTGCCCTTGGGTCTGAACTCTCACAAATAGAAGATAAATGAAGTGATGCGTCCAACATCAGCCTCATTTGCTGAACCGAAAATGGATTCTGGCTTTCCTGTCTGTGGATGGAAGTCAGCATGTCAGAGCCAGCCCAAAGGGATGTGGGAGAAAAGAGACAGCGATGTCAGTGTCCTGACGGCCACGAGCAGAGGCTGCCCGCCCGTGTGGACCGCTCCCCTGGCTGTGAAATGAGACCCAAAGCTTCCATCTGAGTCACTCTCCCTCTGTCTGTGTTTTGGTCCCTGTTAGAACAGCATAGCCTTTCTCTGCCCAGGACATGACTTGGGCACAGTTGATACCGCGTTTAGTGCTCCCTTCTCATCCTGTGTCCGAATGCTGGCACTGAGGGCATGGGCTGTGTGGACGAGGTCAAAGGCCAGTTGTGAGCGTGAAGCTGGAACACCAGCATGCTCACTGCCTTTAGTTGCTGGGTATTGCATTCCACGTGTCATGCCCTGGTACACTCCAGGACCTTGTGGTGGTGATTCCAGCACTATCCCCATTTCACGGACATGGCTTGGAGAGATGGAGGGACTTTCCCAGGTGTCTCCCCTACCCAATGTGCTACAGAAATCAGCAGAGCCACTGTTTGAGGACACAGATGGCACTCCGTCCTCGGAGGCCCACAGCCTGCGTTCCCTCCCAACCCTGCTCTTAGGGGTCAGTGACCTTCAATCGATGTGAGAGATCATTGATCACTATGATTACCTGTTATTGAGCAGTACATCTAACGAGTGTCACTGGACTCCTCTGGGGCCTGGAGGTCTCTGACAGAGTAGCCTGTCTCTCTGAGGCTTCTAGGAGGAGAAGGAAGTTTTCATGGCAGAGGCATGAAAACCTGTGTCTCAGGTGTCCCCATTAGCACTTACTGTTTGTACTTGACACAGTGCACAGGGGCTCAAAGCTACTGACCACAGCCAAGCCCCTCTTCTCTAGGAGCAGGACTTACAGCTCCAAGAATAAACACTTCCTTTCTGGCTCCCTTGCAGCTAGGCCAGGGCCTGTAACTTGGTTCTACAACCATGTGTTCTGGAATCTTCCTGAAGAGCCAGTGCTCGCCCTATGCGCTCTCTGACCCACTAAAGGTTGGATCTCAGCTCAGGCCCCAGAACCAGGGTGCCCTGGGAGATGTCAGGGTGAGGAACTCAAAGGCGGGTCCTGGGGCCTGCAAGGGGAGACCTCTGTGCTGACTGGGACAGCACCCTCCACCCTTACGACAGGGAGACGAGTGTCCAGGTTGTCTAAGCCACTGCTATTTTGAGTTCACTACACTCACACAGACGAGCATCACCTTCCACCTCTGGGATGGAATAAGAAAGGATCCTCCGTGGCCAGTGCTCCCCACTGGGGGATCTTGGCCAGGCAGGGCCAAGGCTGCCAGGGGAGTGTGGGCCCAGAATCCTGGGCCCACAGGTGGTGGACAGCCCAGTAGGCTCAGATGAGGAGTCCTCTAGGAAGAGTCGGCGGTGACCACGTTACTGCTGAGAATGGGGCCGCCTGGGACCCCTAAGGACAGCAGGAGCGCAGCTTTCAGACGAGAGTAGGAGGAGAAGGGATGGGATTGTCTGATGTCCTTTACCCTGGCTCCTGGGAGAGGGAAGATGGTGGGAAATGGTGTCTTGGAAGTAGAGGCCAAAGCAGTCAGCACAAAGGAGAGGTGGCCCCTGGCCTCCAGGCCAACTTCAGAGGAGCCATGCACAGCCCAGGAGGGTGGCCGCCAGCCAGGTGTGAAGGTTCCCTGAGAACCAGGGTGGGCCCAGCCCAGCATTTCCAGGGGCCCAGGTGGCCTCTGCCCTGAGAGCCTCCTCCAGCCCTTCCTGGTGGACCCAGGAGCTGGAGATGGTGCATCCTCACTGCCTGGCTGGCAGAGGATAGTGCTGGCCAATAAAGAATGTGGCCTTGCCATCAAGTGCCCAGCGTCAAACCCTGCTGGGCTGTGGGTGAGCATCACCCGACTTTACCCAGAGTCTCTCCCATCGTAGGGAGGGGGTTGCACAAGTCTGTAGGCCACTCCACGCCTGCTGTCGCCTTCCTGGCCCCACACACGGCCACTCCACGCCTGCGTCCCCTTCCTGACCCCACTGGCTGCTTGGAATCCCTGACTTGGGCCCAGTGACAAGCTGGGGACCCCGTCTCTCCTCAGCATCTCTCTGCTTTCTGTGCCTGCAGACCTGTGCCCAGGCTCCTGCCCAGCTGCCCCAGCCTGAGCCCGGATGCTGCCTGTGCTGTGATCACTGTGGGTGTCCTTGGCTGCCTGGAGCCCCCAAGGCTGGACTTGCCGGCAGAAGTGGAAAGGGGCCGGCGAGTGGGTTCAGCTCACAGGGCTCTCTGGGTCCATATTTTAATGTTCTGCTGCCTTCATTTCAGACCCACATTTCACAAGCACCAAGACAGGCCATGTAAAGGCAGAGCCCCTTGGAGTGCACACCTGTCATGCAGCATCCCCTAATGCCCTGAGCATGGGGGTGGCAGTGGCAGGACCAGGGCACGCTCCCCCACCCAGGCCACGCAGGGCTTCTTGGGGTCAGGGTGGCCCCATCAGCAAGGGAAGGTGCCGGGCTTCCAACAGGACAGGAGGGCCCCCAGGCCTGCCATCCCTGACCTCCCCTCGGAGGGGCCGCTCCACGAGAAAAGATCATTTTAAATTTCCGCCCCAGGTCACAGAACAAGTTAACAGAGTCACATCAGCGACCTGGGCTCCAGATTTCCAGTCCGGCATTAATTTAAATGTTAATCTGAAACCTTCACTTAAATCACAGGAGTTTAGAGTTTATTAGAGCAGGCGGCGGGAGTGGGGCCTCATGGGGGGATTGGCAGGTCACGTTGCCTGCCAGAGGGCAAGCCCCCTCCCGCTGGGCCCACCAGCCCCTGCCATTCTGGCTGCCTCCTTCCTTCTCCCTCCCTTTCTCTCTTGGAGGAAGATTTGGAAATGGGAAAGAGATGGAGGTAGATGTCACGACAGATTCAGATGAGCCCCCGGTGGCTCAGGAACCAGAGCCATCTCAAGGGGCTTGCAAGAGCAGGTGGCGTGCGCGCTGCTTCCCAACTCCACAGTTAGTGACACCACACAGGTAGCCCGGATCAACAGGGATGGGAGCATTTACACAACAGGAATAGGCAGATGCTACAAATCAGGGCCCTGCCACCACAACACTCCTGCCCACACTCTGCACATGCCCACAGGGGCTGCATGTCCCTAGAGGTGAAGGGATCAATGAATGTCCGAGCATTTGCCATTTTCAAGGTTATGAGCAAGGTGCCAGGAAGCCACTGAGGTCTGAGTCCCAGCTCGTGCCCCCCAGGGAGCTCATGTGTGATGGATGCCATGCCTCCATTCCTCCAGGGTGTCTGGGCCACTCTCCCCACCAGCAGGAGTGGCTATGGGAACCAAGCCATCAAGAGCTGTGGGCAATCTGGATTTTCCTCCAGTGGCCTTTAGGCCACAAGCAGAGGTAACGTCAGAACCACGCGGGGAGTTGCTAGAAGTACAGACCCGGGGTTCCAGCCTTGGAGACTCTGAGTCGGGGTCTGGGTTAGGCCTTAGATCTGCAAACGTCTTTGACATGCAAGAGGTCAGTGTGCTCTGCAATGGGGGCCCTCCCTGTCCCGAGGTGCACCAGCTAGCAGCAGCTCTCCTACACCCTGAGCCTCTCTGGAGCGGGTGCTGCTGGCCGGCAAAGAGGGGTGCAGGGGCAACTTTCTCTGGTACCTCAGAGAACATGGCTTATCTCCAGAACAAACAACTTTCTAGCAGTTTCTATGAGCAAGGCAGGAGCCCCGGTACTATGATGGTGGTGATTAAAGTGCTCGCGCAATTCCTTCCGCCCACATTGCATCTCCTGCATGGCTGTGCCCGCACTCCTTTGAGGGAAGATGAAGCCCCGACTCCCACAGTTGCAGGACGCCAGCAAGGCAAATGTGCCGGAGGGGTGGCTCTCCCCCAGCTCCTGCTCCCCAAAGTAGAAATGGCTGATG